CTGTAGCAAAATGACATCTTTGCAAGAGGCTATCTCTGAGTTATGGAATAAGGGAAAAAATCAGTAGTCTAATCCCCAGGTACAACATGAACTGAATCTCCAGCTCATGTTGGAGATTCACTATTAGTCTTCCATTAACTACAGTGGCATTTTATACACCCAGGCAGGCCTGATTCTGTATCTACAGCACAACTGGGTGGTGGTGGTGGTGGTTCTGTATCTACAGCACAACTGGGTGGTGGTGGTGGTGGTTTGGCCTTATCTTACTTGTCTGGCTATCTTTCTAAGTATTGCACCTTACTATACTTTCCTTAATTTTTTGACTGCCAACAATTTCCTATAACATATTTCTCCCCAACTTTGGCCAGCAAAGATCTACTTTGGGGTTACTCTTAGCAAAAGAACTGTTAAACTTCTAGCCAACACTTGCTGAGATTGCTAGCATTACTCTATCTGTACTTTAGCTACACAATAACCCACTACATGGAATGTAAATGCCCCAAAATTGATAAGAAATGCAGTACTACATTTCATTCCCAGAAAATCTAATCGTTGACTGTTGACTCTCCACTTCTAAACCCCAAATCTCCTTTACATGACATGCGAGTCTTATATATTCAATCATATGCCTATGTAAACATATGCATACCCTGCCCCATCAAAACAATTTGCCCTGCCATTGTTAATGTTGATCTAAAGATACAGTACAGTAAAGTTTATTCTATGCTTTGTCTTGAGTTCTCCAGAGAAATCCAAAGCATTATATATAATGCATCACCATATAAGAAACAAAAACTAGAATCTGAAAGTAGAGTGTTCCCTGAAAATATGAAATGTTCATATTGTATAGTATTACAGAAAAGGACCCATTCTGAAGAAAACGCTGAATATTTTAAAAGAAAAGCAAATCTCCCAGCTATATATGATAGTTTTCTGTGAAACCCATGCTGATGTCTAAAGTATATTGGGTATACTCTGGGCAACCAGCAGTCCAAAATAGTGTTCTGGGCACATATACATGTGTGAATGGGTGTGTGTGTGCATGCGTGTGTGCCAATGTATTTTACTTTCAATCATCTTTTATTTCTTTGTTTCCTCCCTGCACCACATTTCCTTTTGGATAGTTGACATTTCTTAGAACACAATCCATATGAATGTCATTGCCCATCTTCTAAAATGTCTAGAAAATCACTAACCCAACACTGGGTAAAACCATTTTCCCATCATAACTGGTTAGAAATGTCTGTTTTTAGGCAACCTGTCTTGGATCAAAACATAACTGAGCTAAGTTTTGAGCTGCACAGTATAATTCAAACAAAATATCCATTCCATCACCTCACAGTTATCCTTGAGCCCAGCTGCTTGACTTCATCGTTTCCCTCTATTTCAGAAATCTAAGCAAATGTGCACACACCCTCACACACACCCTCACGCACACACACACCCCTCAATCCTTACTGGTGCATCAGGCCTTGCAAATTGTCCCTTGGCATATGGGTAAAGTTGCTGTTGTTTTCAACATTAGAGGGGGATAAATACAGAAGAAGCAAAGAAATGTGTGCCTTTGCAACGAAAACATTGGAACAAGGCCAATTTATACAAATGGTCACTCCTGAATAGAATTTGTGAACTAGGTAGAGCAAGATATAGAAATGGAAGTTCTACTGTCTTCCTACATGACATTAACTAGGTACAAAAGTGCAAGTGGGCTTAAAATAGTCTTCATTTTGAGTGAATAAGAGATGCATGGTGGGCATAAGCGAGCACATGGTATTGTGAGCTTATTTGTTTGTTTAGGGTCCAAAACCAATCATAAAAATATACATAGAGTCATTTGCTGAGAGGGAGGCTATAGAAATCAATTAATCAATCAAATAAATAAATAAAAAAGATATACCATAGATAGAGCTGCCTAGAGTTGCCATTTGGCGAGATGGGAAGCATATAAATTTAATAAATAAGATGGTAGGTTGGGTAGGTGGATGGATGGATGGATAGGTAGATGATTGATTGGGATGGGGGGAAGAACTGAAACAGTAGTGCAAATAAAAGCACCAAACATCTTTTATAAATCATAGCTATTAATACTGTAGAAAATTTGCAGCTTTTTGGGGAGGTATCTAGGAATTGATCACATCCAAGGAAAACTATACCTTCAGGTGCATAAGAACAATTACAATTATTTTCCAACAGCTGCTAATAACAGATCTGTTCACCATTGGATGTACGATCGGCCCTTCAGGTGTACATGTGACACATGTTTAATCTCCATTTCACAACATAAACATTTTTGTTAAAAGGAGGCCAGCGTGTCTGCCTATTGTCACTTTAATGGGTAATGCAGCATCTCTGAGCCAGAGAGAAAGGTCTCCTGTGTGGAACATGTAAAATGTTTTTAAAAATTATCTAGGAATACTCCTGGGCGAGAAAGCATTTGCACCGTGATAGAAATGGAAGCTCTGAACTGAGCTTGCCCTAGATTCTTAAATATTGCTAAAGAACACTAGCCCATCAAACTACCAAAACCCAAATCCGGTCCTTAAAAAGATAAAAAATTAAAAATTGAAACATTTTTTTATACACACAGTATACTTCAAATATGGATTAGTATCACAAATAAATTACTGTATGTTTCCTGATCTAACCTTGAGACACAGGCATCACCTTTCTGCCCAAGAGTTTTGAGAAAAAGAAGATACTTCAAAGAGCTATGATTTCTAGTTGTCGTTTTCAAGAAATGCTACAATAGCATTTCTTGAATTTGTTAAATTAAAAGAAAAACCTTTGCAGCATTCCCATTGTAAGTCTGCACTGCAAGCCATAAAAAGCATGCCTTGGCTGCAGTGCAGGATTCATGAAAGAATTTCAGAAAATATCCTTTAAGTCTTTGCTGGGGGTTATTTTTAAAAGGAAGGCTATCTTTGTTTTTGTTTTTTCCCCTTCTGTACATATAGTTCCATTGGTGGACTGAGCTCTCTATTCAGTAAAAGATGGAGAAGAGACGGTGGATGAAAAGGTCAACAAACCCGATTCTCTGTCATTTCAAGAAGCTTTGGGACAAACTGGCTATGCTCACTAGGGCTCTAGCTGTGTCAGAGAACTGGGAGCTGGGAAACAGTCTGAGTGATATTTTCTTTCAGCTTCTCCAGAGCTTCCTTGTGTTTCAAAAAAAAAAAAAAACCCAATCTATTAACAAGTGAATAAACGCTGAGGAACAAACACACAAACACCTTGAAACAAAAGAGGAAAATGTACTGTTGGAGGGAAAAGGTGGAGATTCTGGGTCAATCTGAGCCTGACCTTTTTAAAGTAACCAGCAATCCCACCACATTCTTTCCCTCCCTCCCTCCCCACAACGCCCCCGCTGTTGCTTCCCTCCCCCCCCCCCCCCCCCCCCCCAATATTTGTATGTGCTTGAAATGTTTTGTTTGTGGCCAAAAGAAGAAAAATGACCTGGGTTAATTTTCCATGCAAATATGGCCTGTTTAGGCCACCCCTAATCTCAATCTTAACATTCTCATTCTTTAAATTCTGAATACGGTGATGAGGTATAGTATAAGAAGTCTTCAACTCTGCTTCTTGAAAAGAAAAGGAAAAAAAAACCTCTGAAAGAATGCTATACCAACTCAGGTAAACTGCACCTTTTAATACCTTCTAAAGTAAAGTTATCTACGGTTATCTATTTTTCTGCAAAAAAAAATGCTAGGCAACTGTGTTAAGAAGAAAATTGTGGATTCTATGGGCAAAATTAATTCATATGCAATTAAATTATCAGCAATGCAACTCTAGTTGCTTTAAAAAAAAATTAATGCATTCTCCCATAATGTGTTCAAACAGAAGCTGGAAAGCCATCTGTTTGGGATTGTTAATTTGGATTTCAACATTGAGAAGGGGATTGGGCTAAATGGCCCCCTTCCAACTTTATGAATCTGTAAGTCAGCACATTGTTTTTGGTACATGAAATTGAACAAGCGGCACAGAAAGAAGGTGACTTTATAGTCAGGATTTTCAAATACTCTTTGGAAATGAAGGAATATGACACCTTATCACAGGACTGGAAGTTACTTACCAGGATGTGCAGTTCACATTTTGCCCAGTAAGTCTACTCCTGTGCTATAAAGTCTCTTCTTACTGCAGAAAACCAGGTACTAGCTTGCTAATCTTTTAAATTCCACCTGCAGTATCACTAATATTGGTGACTCTATCAGGCACAAGGGCACAGCTTATCTTCCTATGCACTCCCACAATGTAGACATTGATTCAGATTATTCCTGGTCATCACCACAGAATAGCATCAATTTGTGTCTTAGTATTTCAAGAACCACCTTTTAAAGAGACTATGCAAATCTGAGATTGGATACATGACCCCACACAGCAATTAACAACACATTTGAGACTTGAGCAGGAGCACAAATTCACATGGAACAAGAAGTTCAATGAATTCCAGCCTCCAGAACAGCATCTGAATATGCATGCAGCTTAAGAAGAATGAGGAAGAATACAGAAAAACAGAACAAAACAGGGACCAATATTTGCATGGTCCTCACTAACTCGAGCAACCTCAACAGCAAAAGCCAGATTGGTTTTACCATTATGCAGAGCAAAGGGGCAAATGAAGTGGCAGGACTCTGGACTGTACCACTTCATGCTAAGGGTTGGGATTCCGTCTTTTAAAATGCTCATAAAAAGCTGCCAGCATGTAAGAAGCAAGGACACCTGCCAATTTCCTGCTAATGTGTGGGCGTTCTTTATGAATGACTCTTTCTCACTCATGTGTCAGAGCATTCAAAAGCATGAAATCCATCCCCACAGCCTCAAATGGTGTCGTCCAAAATTGTGTCACTTCAGTCTACAACTTCAGCGTGCATGATGTATAATGCCTACAACCAGCTCCCACTGTCCCCATTTACTTGCTGCCCAAAAGTTGGAGAGGAAAACTACCCCCAGACTTGTTGAGACACCCAAGGGCTAAATAAACCCATGCACAGGTACGTACTCACCCAGAAGAGCAAGTTGAAGACAAACATGAGGTACTTAATGCACTGCAGGCAGTTGTGAGCCATGCTGCACCTCTTCAGTTCTAGAAGAAAAATAAAGGAGAGATCCAAGTAAAAGACCACATACTTGTTCCCCTTGGGGGAGGTGTACTTAGCCTTGGTGGCCTTAGGACCCGGGTTGGTATGGAATCCAAAAAAAGAGTTACTTGCGGCTCCAAATTGGCCGCCGTACATGCTGCTGTAGCGACGGAAGGCGCCATTGGGAAAACTGTAATCCTTGCTGTCCACAGAAGGGCTCCTATGGTAAGTTGATTCATCGGTGCTAGATCTGCGCATGGTGACGTCAAAAGTGTTCCAGAGTTAGTACTGACAAGAATCTTTTGCAGTTTTATTTTGTTGGGAAGGGTAGGCTTTCCACAACTTCCTTATTTGGCTTCCACCCACCCACCCCTAATGTTTTCTGCCAGCTGTTCTTTTGCCTGCCATGATTCTGTCAAGGAGTCAAGTGAGTTGCAAGAGCAGCCCCGTTGGCGAACGGGGGAAACCCACTCAGCCAGGAGTTAGGAAACCCCTGGGCTTACTTGTGGCAAAGTCTTTCCTGGGTAGAAAACATCGTCTTTGGTGCCACAGTCTCCCCCTCCCCACAGTCAAAAGGAGGGGAAAAGGAGAGAGAGAGACCCAAGGAGAGCAATGGTCTGCTTTGGTTTTGCAAGGGAGAGCGACAGTCTGGCGGATTATCCCAAGTGCCATATAAAACCTTCAGTCCACATTGCTCTTCGAAGGACACCCCAAGAGTAAAACCAAGGGACGTTGCACAGGAAAGAGGCTAAGAGAACAGATTATCCCAACAGCGAGCCGCTCTCCTGCCCTGCACCGGTCGGTCCCATCGCTCTGCCCGGAGACGGCGCCGCTCACTTGAGAGGATTCCCCGTCTCCCCTCGGACAGAGGAAGCCTCGGACAGGCGGAAGAAGTGGACGGCGCTTCATTCACGGCGCTGTCACTCTGGAGGTCCCGATCCAGTCGTGCTCCCCTCGCCCGGCTGGTTAATATAACCCAGCCACAGCGCTCCAGCCAGCCTGTCCTTGCGTCTGAAGTGGGAAGGCAGGAGGAAAGACGCTCGCCTCACCGTACCTCGGGAATGCCTGCTCAGCACTCTCTCCAGCTCTCAAGCCCCCTCCCCCAGCCAATCAAATGTACTCACGGGCTCCCCTATTCCCCCCCCCCCCCCACACACACACATCACCACCTTCTTTAAAAGAAAACCCTCCCACTTCGCCTCTTCACAGCAAATCCACCATGAACTGCTTTTAACCAATCAGGCTACAGGTGGGGAAGCTACCGTTCGGTGCCCAGAGTCCTGCCTCTTTAGGTAGCTGCATTCTCCCTCCATCCTGGGCAGAAGGGTACGGGAGAAGCAAGCCGCCTTTCTGTTCTTTTTTAATCATCCCAGCTGACAGAGGCTGCTTGGATTTATAGCCCCTTCCGAAGAGGCTACAGAATTGATGGCTGCTGCTCTAAGGGTAATTGCTCCCTAAAAGCAGGGAGCCAATGAATTTCCTGCAAGATGTAGGTTTGGGGATGAGAAATGCCTAAGTTTTCTTGGAGGGTTTTGGGTTTTTTTGGTGGGGGGAGGGGCACTCTTATCTGGGATGCCTGCACTGACAATGTGGACAGTTGCCTCCTGTGGACAGTTTGCATGCCATCTGACACTCTGACAGTCACTTGCTTGCACTGAAAAGTTGGATCTCTTCCCCCTCCCTCCAGATTCCAAGCACTTCCCATTCAGTGTTATACTGCAGCCTAGACATTTGAGTCCCAGCAATTGTGTCTGGAAAGGGTAGGTATCTTCCTCTCTGCATCTGCGGCATTTTCATCTTGAAAGGTGGGTTATGATTAAAACACTCAATTAAGCCTAGGGAGACCCACATTCCCATCTCTGCTATGAAGTCCCAAGGAAACTTGTGCCAGTTATGCTTTCTCAGGGTTAGCATACTTTGAGAGGGGGAGAGTGGAGGAAGGAGGGATGGAATGCCTGGGGAAAGGTCAGTGTGTCAAATCAATGAAATGACAATTGGAACGCTAAGGTTAAATCAAGCACCAAGTGGATCCAACCTCAGTTCTCATTGGCTAGCAATAAGGACAATGACCAGTGCACTGAGAAGTTCTAATAAAAAAAAAGGGGGTGATTTTGTCCCTTATGTATGGAAGAATAAATATTTCTGCCTTGGATAGCCTCTGCATCAGACCAGAGTAGATCCTCATTCATGCTATTATGAGGATCTACTTTCCCTACTGCTTCACGTAGCAAGTTATAGTGATTGTTCGCATATTTTTTTAAAAAGAAAAAAATCGTAGCCGCAGCAATGTTGAAAATCTCTGGAGCTGGAATATCAGACAACAATCTGCTGCCTGCCACAACAGTATGTGTTGTTCAATCTCCTCATATCATAACAAGTACTGGTACCCCTGGGGCTCTGGTGTTCATTTGAAGCTTTCCTTGTTAGTTCCGCAAACTGCATTGAATTACATCTCCCATCATCCCCAGCCGGCCAATATGCTAGCTCTTATCCAAACCTCATAACAGAGAATGCCATGTTAGGAAAGCTGAATGAAAATCTCCATTCAGCAATTGAAGAACACAAGAATATTTGAGAGTTGGAACAGACTAGAGAACAAGAAAGCAGTGCAACTGAAGCAAGGCGTAGGAAATTAAAAATGGAAACATTGTTCCTATATTAGGAAACACAGAAGTAATTGCAAAGCACAAAATGGACTCCAGCATCCCTCTACCACACATATTTTTAGATTTGGTGTGAAGGTCTGAGGAAAAGCAATGGCAGAAGACTTGCAAGGTGCATAGAACAGATAATTACTTGGAAGCGTCATTTTGTGAGCAGAAGTAGGCGTGCATAACCTAGAGCGACTCATAATTTGCTGAGAATTTTCTTCCATCTGTGAACCTCTGGAATTGGCAGCAGCACAAATAGTGTTCTGCACCTACTTCACTGCCATGATATTGTCAACTCAAGATTTGCCTTCTGTTTGCTTACTTTAATGCACCAAGTGACTTTAGTGGACAAAGGATCGGGGTGATGGGTAATCTAGAGAAGAGAAGGACTAGGGGTGACATGATAGCAATATTCCAGTATTTGAGGGACTGTCACGGAAAAGAGGGGGTAGTGTTCTTCAAAGCACCAGAAGGCAAGATAAGAAACAATGAATGGAAACTAATCTAGGAAAGAAGCAACCTGGAATGAAGGAGAAACTTCCTGATAGCAAGGATAATTAACCAGTGGAACAGCTTGCCTTCACAAGTTGTAGGTGCTTCATCACTGGAGGTTTTTAAGAAGAGATGGACAGCCACTTGTCTCAAATGTTCAGGGTCTCCTGCTTGAGCAGGGAATTGGATTAGAAGATCTCCAAGGTTCCATCCAGCGCTGTTCTGATTGATTGATTGATTTATTGATTGATTGACAATGTGAATGGATACATATCACAAGTTTTCATCTGCCTCTGGCCCACTATCTTCAGGTAGAAAACAATGATTCTATGTCTCAATCTACAAATACTTTTTTTTTTTCAGATGGGGAGGATTCAGATAAGGTTCCAAGAATATGAGACTGAGATTTAAACAGCTCAAAGTCCTAATGGACGCTGCCAGCTTCTCAGGACCAAGAATCACTTACTTAACACACACAGCTTATGAAATGTATCATCATCAGAAGGAAGAGGTGACTGGTTAGTAATTTAAACACTTTCTGGAGAAAGAGAATACCGAATACAAAAGATGTTTTCCTGCCAAAATCATCTTTCTTGGGGAAACATCAGGAACACTGTTCAATTAAACAGGAAAGAGAAAAAACTGAATGGCTGATATTGCCAGCCTCTCTCTGCAAGGTCACCTCTGCAAGCTATCCACTTACTCGAACTACACAAAATGTATAAACATGACAGGCTATAATCTCTTTTCTCTTTCAGTATGCCATATGGGCTTAGCAAACACAAGCATCCACAGTGATTCTAATTCTAATGCCATTCTTAATTGTATATGCAGAATAACGAGTATTGAAAAAGTTCCTTATTAAACCTTTCACTTGTAGCTTTCTTGCTTAGGGAGAATTGTTCCCTATATTATTTAGCAATCAATTGGTTCTGGGATTGCTTCTATAAAAAGGAAATTGTCAAAAACTACCTTTAGAACCATAGTTTAAGTCAGATATAAAGAGGATTATTACATCTAATGAGAAAAGCATTTGTCAATTTTATATTAAAGAACCCAGCATCACTCCCTCTTGCGAACCACAATAATAAAGAGAACAAAGGATCAGAAAAGCAGGTCACATTTGAAATATAACATATTTAAATTAATTAATTAAAATTTTAAAGTCTTTTTTTTTTTTTTTGCTCAAAAGAACCTCTTTGTCAAACATTTCCATATTTTGGCTGCTAGTTACAATGTTGATATCATTTATATGCTGGCTAGCACACATGCCGATGCATCCTCTGATGTGGAAGACTGCTGAAGTTCAAAGCATCAGCAATTCAAACATACACAAGCAGTACAAGCACTAACACCGATAGGACAAAGCACTCAATCGGGCACAAAAATCAGTGCTAGCTTCCCGAAGGTATGGTACATTGAGATGGCAGCCATTTTCAAGGAAGCTTAAAAGCAGAAGTTTTAAGGGGAAGGAGGAGAAGGAATGGATTTCAAACAAGTAGCTTGTACAAGAAATAACATGCTACACAGTAGTTCACAATTTTTATTGTCCATCCCATACTGCCTTTAAAACAGTCAGATTCAAAATGAACTATGCTTCTTCTAAACTGAGGTTGGGGAGGACAGAAAAAAAGAGACAAGAAAGTTCATGTATAAAGCTTAGATTTCAAGTATGACCCTTGGAAAAGTAGATAAATTGCTAACTTCAGCCAAGTCAGGATATTTGCACACAAGTGACACTGAAATGCTCTTCTCTCTACTTGCTTACTCTCTGACTCTTTCTCTCTAAAAAACTGACAAACTGCTGACATAAAATATGTTTAATGAATCCACAAACTTGCTAAAAAATGTGGGGGGGGGGGAGAGAAACCTTTCCTTCCTGTATGTGAAGAAGGCTCTACGTTGTGAAATAAATAGCCAAGAGCTGAGTTCACGAATGCTAAGTGTATACTTCAACCATGGGTAACCAAACAGCCATAATGGTCAGATTCAAACATAATAGTAAGCCATCAGTCAATAACTTAAAAATCATAATGGCCAGGTTATTGCAAAGTAGTAAGCCAAAGTCTAACAAGCTGCATTATGTTTTAATACTTTCTTCGAAAATGCTTGTAA